TGGCCTGAACACGTTCACGTTGTCCAACCCGGCTCCACTGGGTTGTAATATTGAATTTATGATTCAATCAGAATGCATATGCACCTACCATGTCATTTTTAGTGACTTGATAATGGTTGCAGAAAGAATATAACATTTGCTAATGCAATTTAATTCCATGCACTGCAACTGAAGCAGTTAAAGTGTTTAAGAAGTTTAAAGGCAATGCTATGACTGTGCCTATTTTCATTTTTCTTTTGTTGTAGTTCTGAAACAGACTTTATCGCAGAAATTGTTGGTACAATCAAATCTGAACTAGATCTAAAACTAGTTAGTACTCCAGCTCATCTAATTGGAATGGACACTCGAGCTGAATTTATCAATTCTTGGTTGAAAAATGAGCAATCTGGTGCTAATGTCTTAGCAATTTGTGGCATGGGAGGTAGTGGCAAGACAACACTAGCCCAATTCATTTATAATTCAAACAAGCAAAAATTTGAAAGCAGCAGTTACCTTCAAGAGATTGGAAAGCACTACAAACAGGCTCATGGTTTGCTTGGGCTACAGAAACAACTTCTCACTGACATTTTAAGGGGAAATAATGAAAGGATATCCAATGAATCTAAGGGTACAAGTAAGGTTGAGGAGGCATTACAAGTGAAAAAGGTGCTTATTGTTCTTGATGACATTGATGAACATGATGAATTAGGGGCTTTACTTGGAACAAGGGCTTTTAATACACAAAGCAAGATCATAATAACAACTAGACTTCTAAATATAAATGCATGGTTTGGGTCCATATCTTGGAGCTGCGAGGTGCAAAAACCTGAATTGTTGAATGATGATGAATCATTACAGCTTCTGAGTTGGCATGCATTTGGATCCAATATTCCTATGGAAGGTTTTATGGAGCTTGCAGTTTAGGTAGCACAATATTGTGCTGGAAGCCCGCTAGCTCTTAAAGTACTAGGCTCTTCTCTGTTCGTTGATGTTAGCCATCCATGGAAAATAAATGGCATGAGAGAGGTTTGGAAAAGTACATTGAATTCACTGAATTCATTGAAAGGAGATCTTGATTGTAAAATCCACGGTATACTACAAAAGAGCTTTGACTCATTACCACATGCCAGTAACAAAGAGTTGTTTCTGCATATTGCTTTTTTCTTTGTTGGTGAATATGAGGATTATGTGGTAACGATATTGGAGCATGACTGGCATGCAAAGGCTGGGATCAGGACCCTCACTAACAGATGCCTTCTTACCATCTCACCAAGTAAAAAATTGATGGTGCATCAACTGCTTCAAGAGATGGCAAGAAACATATGTTGGAAATTTAGTATAAATATTTATATTTTTACTAACTTTGGACATATATAAATATATACATATGTTGTATATATAACGAACTCTAAGTGGGTTTGTGTTCTCCTCCATGAGGACTTCGAAACGATATATTATATGTCCAAAATAGAGTATAAGTGAATGAGATATCGATACTCAAAGATGGGTATTTGAGAATAAGTTTAGCAAAAGAGAGGAATGTGGGAATGAGTCCCACATTGGTAGAGAGACCAAACTCAACAAGTTTTATAAGCTTCATTGCATGGAAGGCTTACAAGCTTGTGTCTATGGTTATGCTACAATTCTACCCGCGCGCAGGGGGGGTGCAAATCTTGGTTCCGTAGACCAAAAAACACCGAACTCGTGCATGGGCGCGACCTGCGGACACGAATGCAGCTCCGAAAACTCGGGCGCGCGCTTGACAGTTTTGGTCCCTATTTTTGAATTCTGTAACAGATGCATTAATTGCATAATTAATGACATTTATTGCCATTAAACGCTCAATCAATTAGTGATTTGTTTCCGTTTCACGATTCAACTATAAAAGAAGACCTTGCCGTCTCATTCAAACACACGAATGAAATTACTCTTCTTCTTCTTCCTTCTCTGCACTCCTGCTTCCGGCCATTCTTTCAGGCAAGTGGTGATATCCGACAGTACACAATACTGTTTAGGTTGTTGTACCCTGGGAACAGACGGCGAATCTGTTTAAGGGAATCGAGTCCAACTCGAGCCTCAGCCACATCATTTGCATCTAATTTTTTCTTTACAGGAAGCTTTCAAGGACGAAAACAAAGACCTTATACTAACAACATAGTCCTTCAAGAGTCCACAGATCCTGCAGCACGTAGTAGAGTCTCGCAAAATGATGAATCTTATCGTTTGTTGAGGAAAGGAGAGATAAGATGCTTCTTAATTATGTGTATCTTTATACTTACTTTCCCTTTCGCAACCCCCTATGCTAACTTGCCTTGTCTCATTTCATGTCTTTCCCGGTTAGGGTTCAAAAACAATTGAAGGTCTAACACTTAACATGAGAAAGCTTGAGGAAGGGATGACATCAAATGTAAGCCAAAGCCGTGAATGAGTGTGGTGATCTTGACATTTTTGCAGCATTTACCTTTAATTTTCAGTGCATGTTATATCATACATGAGGTATATGTACTACTTAATTAACTTAATGCTAAATTTGCAGCGAACAACCCTTAAAACAGCTTCACTTGCAAAAATGGACAAACTGAAATTGCTCAAGCTAGAACATGTGGAACTCAAGGGGTCCTACAAGAATTTTCCAGAATTAAGATGGTTGTACTGGAGTGAGTGTCAATTGAAAAGAATACCCTCCGGCTTATGGGGGAGCAACTTGGTGGCTATAGATATGAGGAATGGATGGTTGAAGAAGTTTGAACCACCCATGGTAGGAATTTGATGTCCTATTTGGCACTTGACCTTTTAGTTTGTGTTTGGTTGTGGAAAAGTGTTTTCAAATTTCTTGGAAAAGTTTTTTTAAAAAAAAAAAAAAAAAAAGGAGTAGAGTTGTCATTTTCAGTTTTTATTGAAAATTTTAAAAAACGTGTTTGGTTAAAACTTTCGAGTTTTTATTTTCCATTTCAGAAAATTAGAAAACATGTTTGATTGTGTTTTTTCTATCAACTTTTAATTTCCAATTTTTGTTATTTTAAAGGTTTTTTGACAACAAAAATCTATTGAAATTCTTTTTATGTTATTTTAAATAGGATAGGGTGGGTTAGGTGTGTGGGGCAAGTAAGGTTAGGGTGAGGTAGGTAGGTAAGGTGGGTGTTGAGAGTAGGTAAGGTTGGATGGGTGGGTAGGGGTGCGTGGGTGGGGTAGGTAGCATGGGTAGAGTATATAGGGATGGGGTAGGCATAGGTATCACTAGATGTGGGGGGTGGTTGTGGGGGTAGGTGGGGTGGGGTGGGTGTGTAAGGTCTTTGGGGATGGGGTAGGTATGGGGTGAGTGTGGAGTTAGGTATGGGTGTTGTGTGTTTATATTTTAGAAAACTTTTGCAAATGGAAAAGTTTAGAAAACAATTATCAGTTTTGAAGTTCTTTGTACTTTCGGAAAAAGAAAATATTTTTTTCCTGGAAAAATATTAGAAAAATTATCAAACAAAACATTTTTTTTAAAAATTTCACTTTTCTGAAAAACTACAAAATTTTCTACAATCAAACAAAACCTTACGATACATTTGGTTGTGGAAAATTGTTTTCGTTTTCTTAGAAAATGTTTTCATAAAATAGAGTTGAGTCTTCATTTTTTAGTTTTCAATGAAAATTTTAGAAAACGTGCTTGGTTAGAACCGATGGAGTTTTCATTTTCCATATTAGAAATTTGGAAAACTTTGAAAAATTGTAAAAATCACTTTTCTAATTTACATACATTTTGGAAAACTGAAAATTTTCATTTCTTAGAAAACTTTGAAAAACTGAACGAACCAAACGCATTTTCAAATTTTCCGTTTTTCTAAGAAAATTTCCACAACCAAACCCACCCAACTTCCTGACAGTTTATGTGTTAATGTACGATTAATCAATCTTGGTATTCTTGGAATTGGTTTTGAACGGTCGGTTGATCTTGTCAGTATCCACCATCTTTCCCGACTTCCTAATCTCGAGACTTTGATTCTCTCGCACTGTTGGAGTCTCAGTCTGACTCATGTTTGTAAAACCATTGGAGGTCTTAAGAAGCTTTCTCTACTGAACTGTGGAGGGTTTCATCATCTTGGGAAGGCTGCATCGAATAAGAAGTGTGCAAATCAACTGCAAAGGCTAAAAACTCTATGTACCGATGGAGGAATGCCAAAACCGTTGTTGCTCCCCTTGCCAAAATTCGTTAAAGTTTTTGTTTCTCAGTTATTGCAACCTTGATATAAGCCATGATGATCCACGGTTTTTAAGTAAACACCTGCCATCCTCTTACAATCACATAAATTTTGGCAGCAATCCATTAATGCACTTGACCAATTACACTAATCATAAAATGCTCCGGGTACTCAATGTGAGTAATTGTCAAAATATAAAGTCCCTCCTATGTCTCCCAATTACGCTAGAAGAGTTGTATACATCTTGGTGTTCTTCATTGGAGAAAATAACATTTGAATCAGCTCGGTTTACATTGCGGAAATTTGAATATCTATTATGTAAAAACTTGTTTGAAATTCAAGGCTTTTTCAAATTGGTTCCGTTAGCAAAGCTTGATGAATCAGATTTGGGACATATGAAATGGATCAAAGCATATCACGATACTAAGCTGGACCTCACAGGTAGTGATGTCATGAGATACGGTTGGCATATAAAGGTACCGTTCTCTCTCTCCGCATGCATGATTAGCACACAAAAAACCACGTTTTACCACCAGAAAACTGACTAATATTTTAATAATTTGATATTTCTACAATTTGTTTGAGCAAGTGCTGTATGAATATGGTATAATGAGCACATATCTGCCAGACATAAAAGAACAAAGCATGCCAACGTATGAGTATATGTCATCATCCGCGTTCTTATCCTTTCATGTGCCTTCTTCTCCTGAGAAATGCAGGATCCGAGGATTAAACATAACCGCCTCATACAGACAATCAGTCACATAATACAAGGATACAGAAAATACATGGGTTTTATTCAGCAAAGTTAGCAATACAACCAAGGGCCTTACCTGGATGTATAACCCTTTGATCTATTGTTATCCGGGAGCTGGAAAAGATGCTGTGTGGTTAAGCTATTGGCCCATTGGGAACATATTAGACGCTGGTGATGAAATCAATGTGTCCATCGTTGTGGGGGATGGATTTATGGTAAGCAGCTGTGGTGTGAGCCTTGATTTCATAGATGATGGTGAAGAAGAGCTAGAATACTACAAAAATTACAAGAAAGAGGAAGAAGTTATTGGAGGAGATCTATCTGAATTTGAGCTCACTACAGGAGCCTACTATCTTTGTCGTCGCGATTTCTTCAAGACAACCACCCCTGATTGGTTAAGGATGCTAGTTGGTGATACCATTCCCCATAAAGGTAAGTTCCCCTTTGAGCTGATGCTTTTTATTAAGATTAAGCTGCAAATACTGATACAATCTTACATCACACTATCATAGACTCACGTGGATAGAGAAAATCGCTTCAGACAGACTACGAAGGGTCATATATGGAGTGGAAAGCATACGGAGGCGACAGCCTATTCCCATTGTAATATCATGTTCTATATAAAATGATATTAACTAATCACAAAAATAAAATTTTAGTCTTTATATATCGAATTTATATAAAAGTGTGTTATAATTTTAATTTTTTATTTAATAAATGTTGTTTCAATAAAATCATAACTAAATCGGATTATTATATACAGATAGCTTATTTTTTTATAATTTTGTGATAATATAACAACAACCTTTTATCTATTTTCAATCCTTTTTCTTAGAACTCCTATCACGTTAAATTGATTGAACATTATAATTGTTCTAATGTAAGGATAAAAAAATGGTCATATAGTCCCATTCACAAACTTTGTTCGGTGTAGAAAAATAACAAAGAAACAAACCTCAATGTATTAAGACAAATATCATTTTACCGATTCCGCCACCCCATATATGACTTAATAGAGAAAAAAAAAACCCTAAATAAAAATAATTCTATAAACATGTATGTATTATTCACTTATATCATCAATATTCTATAAAATCTATAACCAGATTGGAACCAATTCCCCACCCATGTATCCCGTAACTAACTATTGCAAGCATACAAAGTAAAATGTGGGAGATGTACAAATACAATAGAATAAGGAGCAACAGTTATCGGCTCCGAATAATTCATAAACAAAGGTTTCAATGAAGGTATTTCATCAGACGAATTTACCCTCAATTCTTTTCCATTCAACATCATTACTTTACTGTGCAAATTTCCATCTTTTGGTGTCAAATGATATTCTTCACGTGTCCTTATTCTTTTCTTATGTATCTTTTTATGTGCTGATTTTAAACGAGTATGCTTCGTTTTATGATCATGATGAGCATGAGACCTGCGTTTGTGTAGCCTCCAAGTACTGTTAACTGATAATTTTACATCAACAATAGTGCTATTGTCTAAATTCATTAGCAGGATCAATATTCCCTTCTGCAATATGGATCAAATTGTCATAAGTCTGGTAAGCTATATACGAATACTTCTTTTGACTTAATACAAAAAGAATAATTTAATATTGAAGTCTGGGAAATGAGGCTTTCATTATTAAATCATTGTATATTCAAAAATCTACTGAATTACAGCATTGTATGTACTCTTGTTTTCACATTAAAGACATTGCATTTTGAAAAAAATATATATACCCAATTATAGCATTGAAAATTTCTTTGTATCTAATGGCATTGCTATTTTGATTTGAACACTTTATTGTTTTCTTCCATTTCCCAGTTTCTCAAATATTTTTAAACTTCATTTATCCACACATCAATTCATAAAAAAAAAAGGCTTACTGATTCTTTGGCACAATGTGAATAAGCACGTATCTTCTTTGTCCCGACAAATCTTGTAGATAAAACCTTTCTCCCCATTAATCGATGCCAAAGAAGTGCACTAGAAAAAAAAAATCCCGTTATAATTGTGACCTTTTAAAGTGTTTGACATTAAAGTCAAAGTTAAATATTTGTTATGATTTATGAACCTGTAGTAGTCTGGATTTGGCTCAAAGGTAGTGGTATTAAGTAAGCCATAGTTTCCTCCTATCAAACTTTGTCTGCAATATGTTTTTGTATCATAAATAGATGACATCCCCAGCTGATCCAAGTACCTAATATTATGGGAAAAGAATAGTTGTACGTTATTGATTAATTATAGTATGTTTTACATTATGCATTTATACTTGTACAAATTAGCTTACCAGAAACTGAACACAAATGCGTTCGTAACAAGATCCTGACCACTATTATAAGCTCCACCAGCCTCACTAACCCAAGCAGCTGCTGAACTTTTGGAAGTATTGAGGGTCGATTCAAGTTGCTTGAACGTATCATGCGCTTTGTCAAGATAAGACGGATCAAGAATCTTTGCAGTTAGATTTTTATCGACCCCTGCAAGAATCATGGCATGAAAATTTGAACTTTTTGTGATCCGGATCCCTAATCCATACACCCTAAACCCTGATTTCAGTTTGAGTTATCCGAACTAATGTCGTAGCACAAGAGTAGCCCTTGCAAAAATAGTCAATGGTTCACGTTCAGTGTGAGAGTTTTAATTTCACTGTGGATTTAGACTAGGCATTGGGCTCTTATACCCGCCATCTAGTTTGCCAACCCCAAACCCTTAACTGCAATTCGTAATTTAATTCGACTTCCGAGAGTGGTATGTTTATATAAATAGTCAAAGCTTCAAGTCTTAATGTTTTAATCCTAGAGTTTTAATTTCAATGTGGATTATACTTGGTTATGGACATTGGGCTTTTATTTTAGCCATCTAGTTGGCCCACTTCTTTAGCCATCTAGTTAGCCATCTAGTTGGCCCACTTCTTGAAGTGGGCCAACTCAGGTGTGCCCAACAAAAATATTTTGTTTAAGAATTTGAAAGTTACCAGGGCCGAGATTGTAGATGTGGTGAGAGATCATGTTGAGTGTCTTGGATGTATCGGCTAGGAATTGCTTGAACCATTTTGGATCATAAAATCCCCCGGGTGCAATGATAAGTGGCTTCGGTTTGATACCCTTGTAAATACGGTTCACGATGTTGCTAAGGGTTATTGTGTCATTGGCATATTGAGATGATGATATACTTGTTCCAATGCCATTTCCACTCAACTCATTCCCTGCAAGTTGAACACGTTACAGAAAACCGCAACCCAACCAAATAATAAAATAAAACATAACCAAAAACCGAGCCGGATCCTTTCTTAACATGATGTTGATGTCTTTTTTATTATATTTTTTAAATGGCTAACTCGTACACCCCCAAATGTACTCATAAATCTACATCTTAGTCCTAAGGGAAACTTAACCTCCAACCTATTGGCTGTGAGATACCTTTTCAAGAACTTCTAATAGGCCACAAAACCTTTGGTTCATATGTTTTTTTATTATCATATAATGTGGAGTTCAATAAATATGTTGTTCACGCTTTGATGTATCTTCAAAATTTATTCACTTACTTGATTGCAATTTATATTGTTTTGAAAAACCAAAAAACCCAACAAAACAAAATTGTATTCCTTAAGGTTAGAATCCAAATAATTTTGTTTGGTTTTGATTTTAGTCAAAAAGCTAAACTAAACCGAATTGAACCATACTCATCCCTAATTTGTTACTGCTTGTGGGTTCACATACCGAGCTCCCAACCATTGATTGTGTAGTTCTTTTGAACCGTGTAACACATTAGGGTTTCGGCATTGGTTGGGTCCCAAGCTCCGATTGTGGAACCGTTGGCTAGCACCGTCTTACCTGTGAGAGCATTTAGTCCAAAAGTATACACAGCCCTGAATGTAAAAGACAATTATACCCCTGAAAACATGAAAACATGAAAACTTGAAAAACAAAATATTTTTATTTTTTTTAATTTGATTACCCGGTATCTTGTAAGAATCTATTAAGTTCATCCCATCTAGATAGAGGCAAACATCCCTGGGTGAAACCAAATAATGCTGTGGTATTCTTGATGAAAGGTTTGCAGGGTTCATGGTGATTTTTGGTTTGGTAGATAACATCATCTTGCAAAGTGCCTCCTAATCTGATCTTTAAGGGAGAAAAAGCTACACAATTTTTAATGAAACACAATTAATTTTATACAATGTTATAATAAATGCGATGTTATCCAATTCATTAACTATGCATTTTTCTAATGAACCATTTAATTTAACAAACTTAGTATTTAGGTAGATGTTAAATAAAATGGTAAAAAATGATACCTTGTTAGAGAAAAAAAATGGTGAAAAAATATAAGTGTGTTGCAATTATTTTTGCAATCAAGCGTAAAAAAACTATAAAGAGTAAAGAAAACTTGTTGATTCTTTTCACCTTTAATGGCATTCTTCAAGATTTTGTTGTGAAGATCCTGCATATAATTATACAACAAGGACAGCTTCAGATTGATTTGAAATTATATATATATATATCCAAAGACATGTAAGTTGACAAGTTCGTCCTTGTTAAGAATGGTGTTATGTTTATTTTTCTACTTTAACGAATATTATTATTAGATTTATTTTTTTAAAGAACAGATGGTTAGATTCTTTAGAGACGTAAGGCCTAACTTTTTTGATGACATCAAGTAAACCCACAATCAACATCTCCTTTTATTTCAAAGACAAAATGAAAACGTTAACATATGCAACAATGACACTCTCACGTCAAGCAACTTGTAATCAATAGTGACGCATTTTTACTTTATTTTCAATTTAACTAGTCGACTAAATATTTTAAAGAAGACAGATGTAGTTTGTATAGGACTTTTTTCACAAACAGTCCATAACTTTCCAATTTCCACAAAATAACCTTATTTTTTTCAAAGGCGGGCCACCATAATGTTGAACCTGAACCATGAAATTGAACTTAACTCCATTTCAAGGTCTTTTGACTTTTATCCCATATACATCATTCATGATTGAATTTTCTAGATATGGTAACCATTTTTTTCCTTGTAAAACAATAGTTATAACCATTGATATTTTTTCAAAAATAAAAAATAGAAAAATTAAAGATGCTAATTTGGATTTATTTACTTGTCTATGTATAGAATTAATTATGATTTTATCTCTATATCCATCTAACTATTTTTTAATCTAAACAATTATCGACCTATTACAAAACAAGCAAGCATCGGTCTATGGGTATGGTGTGTGTCATTCTCAATGAAATTGAGGGTTCAAGTAAGACATAGGCTGGATTATGAATAGAATATAAGTAAATGAGATTTACAGTTTAAAAAAAACAATTATTTTGTTTCATTTTGCTAATCGAAATAAAAAGGATCAATACCATAAACTTTTATGACAACTAATAATATTAAAAAAAAATGGTCAGTTTATCCATTGAATTGTATATGATAAACGGGTATTGAATCATACTATGTTATGTGATATCAATATGATATAATTATCCCGTTTAAATCAATTACA